TCCTAGCCATGTTTCCCAATGATGGACAAACCAGGAAACATTGTTTCCTAGCCATGTTTCCCAAAGGTGGACAAACCAGGAACCATTGTTTCCTAGCCATGTTTCCCAAAGGTGGACAAACCAGGAAACAATGTTTCCTAGCCATGTTTCCCAAAGGTGGACAAACCAGGAAACATTATTTCCTAGCCATGCATGTTTCCCAAAGGTGGACAAACCAGGAACCATTATTTCCTAGCCATGTTTCCCAAAGGTGGACAAACCAGGAAACATTGTTTCCTAGCCAAGTTTCCCAAAGGAGGACAAACCAGGAAACAATGTTTCCTAGCCATGTTTCCCAAAGGTGGACAAACCAGGAAACAATGTTTCCTAGCCATGTTTCCCAAAGGTGGACAAACCAGGAAACATTATTTCCTAGCCATGCATGTTTCCCAAAGGTGGACAAACCAGGAACCATTATTTCCTAGCCATGTTTCCCAAAGGTGGACAAACCAGGAAACATTGTTTCCTAGCCAAGTTTCCCAAAGGAGGACAAACCAGGAAACAATGTTTCCTAGCCATGTTTCCCAAAGGTGGACAAACCAGGAAACAATGTTTCCTAGCCATGTTTCCCAAAGGTGGACAAACCAGGAAACATTATTTCCTAGCCATGCATGTTTCCCAAAGGTGGACAAACCAGGAACCATTATTTCCTAGCCATGTTTCCCAAAGGTGGACAAACCAGGAAACATTGTTTCCTAGCCAAGTTTCCCAAAGGAGGACAAACCAGGAAACAATGTTTCCTAGCCATGTTTCCCAAAGGTGGACAAACCAGGAAACAATGTTTCCTAGCCATGTTTCCCAAAGGTGGACAAACCAGGAAACATTATTTCCTAGCCATGCATGTTTCCCAAAGGTGGACAAACCAGGAACCATTATTTCCTAGCCATGTTTCCCAAAGGTGGACAAACCAGGAAACATTGTTTCCTAGCCAAGTTTCCCAAAGGAGGACAAACCAGGAAACATTGTTTCCTAGCCAAGTTTCCCAAAGGTGGAAAAACCAGGAAACATTGTTTCCTAGACATGTTCCCCAAAGGTGGACAAACCAGGAAACATTGTTTCCTAGCCAAGTTTCCCAAAGGTGGACAAACCAGGAAACAATGTTTCCTAGCCATGTTTCCCAAAGATGGACAAACCAGGAAACATTTCCTAGCCATGTTTCCCAAAGGTGGAAAAACCAGGAACCATTGTTTCCTAGCCATGTTTCCCAAAGGTGGACAAACCAGGAAACAATGTTTCCTAGCCATGTTTCCCAAAGATGGACAAACCAGGAAACATTTCCTAGCCATGTTTCCCAAAGGTGGACAAACCAGGAAACATTGTTTCCTAGCCATGTTTCCCAAAGGTGGACAAACCAGAAAAAAATGAAGAAAGGGATATATGTACCTGTGGATTTTTCCAATACTTTGGATTTCTATGTGCGACATATTTTTCCACAAAAACGGAACAACCGCTAGGAAGATAATAATCTTGAATGACTAAATCTTTCATCAGTATTCTGTCAGGCCCTCCGACCACGGGATAAAGACGCAGACTTTCTTTGATACAGTTGTCAAGAAAATGAAGTTTATTTAAATCTTTGTCGCTGATGAATGTCTTCGAACCAATTACTATGTCTATTTCTTGCATAACTCTATAGAAAGAGAGAATAATATAATCTCAAGCTAATTTAAAATAATTCATGAGTGAATTACCATTATTATGTTGCTTTATTTTGCTCACATGATAAATAATACTCATGGATAGGTGGTGAAGTATATATTGATTCTAAGACTGGATTAAATTTAATTCAGCTCATTTTAAGTGGTTATTTATTCGTATGAGATGTCATTTCAAATCCTCCAATTCAGACTGGACTACAAGACTAGTGCATCAAATTGCGCGATCGAATAGACTTGAAATCTAGTCCAGTCCTTATAGTCGGCGATTTGAAACATTACATCCAATAATCAATATACTCAACTTACTCATGAGCATGTTCCAAAATGTTTCTCAAATTTTGTCTGTTTTGAAAACAATCCTAATTCATTTCTTCTTGGCCAAAAGTTACGGTTAACACTGAGTAATTTTACAATTAAAATACAAAACAATGGACACTCCGAAAACGGTTAACATTTTAATTCGACGTTTCGACTAGCTTGGCTTGCAGTCAGTGCCAGTCATCGACTGCAAGCTAGTCGAAACGTCGAATTAAAATGTTAACCGTTTTCAGTGTCCATTGTTTTACATTTCATTTCTTCTTTTCTAGCATGTTTCTTTTCTAGCGATTTGCGTTGACAATCACAAGCTATAGTTGGTTCTGTGTTTGATACATTTCACGTGCTCGCATTTTGATCCAGTCTTCGACTTCTCCCCAGTCTGGATCAAATTGCGCGGACCGGACAATCTTGAAATCTAGTTCAGTCCTCACAGTCGGATTTGAAATGTTACTTCTTTCAAATGTTAATGAAATGTTATTTATTTCAAATTTATCAGAGCAAATTTACTAAAAAAAACTCTAAAAAAATTTACCCATAAATTTTAGTAATTTTACTCAAAATTTTGCGAGTCACAATGGGCGCTTTACTTTACTTAAGTTTTTAAAACACGTATATCTCGTCTTCTCAAGTTTAAAACCATACCTCTGGTAGATCTTTTCGTTGGATAATATTTCAAATAAAGTGAATGCTAAACAGCCTGCGGTTGTTTCATGAGCTACAAGAGAAAAGAGTAATGGTCACCAACAAAAAAACGCCTTGTTTACTTATTGTATCAGCAAGTGAACGGTGGGATTCAAACCTACGACCTTTGGAACACTAGCCCAATGCTCTGCCAACTGAGCTACGCGGTCAGTTGGCAGAGTATTGGGCTAGTGTTCCAAAGGTCGTAGGTTCGAATCCCACCGTGGCCAGGCATTTTTTTTAAGCCTGCCCGGTGTGAATACTCAGAGTAACATCACACAAGCATCTTTTTCACCTGAGTACATGACACCAACACAGCAAATATCAAGATCTTATACTGTATTTTTTACCTGCGACAAAAAACGTCACAACTTCGTCGATTTTTTCCTCCATCGTGAAATTCGGGTCATTTTTCGCGATATCCAAAATATACGCCAGAATATCTGAGCGAGCTTCGCCGTGCGTTTCACGCAATTTGCGTTCTCGCGTTTCTATCACTTCGCGCGCGAAACCTCGAACTGTTTTCGCGGCCTTGATGAATTCTCGTTGTCGGGAAGTTTTCCTCGTGAAAAGTCTTGTTAAAGAATGTGGAAGCACGGTGGTGAGGTTTGCCTGCACGGCTTCTAAACATTTTTCAAACGCATGTAAAATTCCGTCAAAATTTTCTTGCGTTAATCTTGAATCTTTGCCACATATCGCCTTAAAAAAGATATTCGGCAAATTTCGTAAAATATTTATTGGGGTGGAGGGGGACAAAGCCCCCTCCCCAGCCCCCATGATAGCCCCCCCCCTCCCCAGTCAACCATTTTGGGCCCCCAGTCAAGTTCCCTTTTCTTCAAATATAAGCAAAACAGTGGAAGAAAAATAGAATTTGGAAGTGAGGTTTGATATTCTAGTAACTGAAATTTGCTTTGTGATCTTATGTCATGTTTTTTAATATCTTCAAATGATTCAATGTCTGTTTCAAAATGTTAAACATTGTATTGTTGTAAATACCTTAGATTTCAAAAAAATTTCCAATGGATAGTATATCCCAGACCATATAGATTTGAGTTGTTGGAAGGCTAGGCTAAACAAGTTATAGTGACCGAGTTGTGGTGTTTACATATAAACATACCATGCAAGTACCTAACTGAAGATTTAGTCAATTATCTGTCAATTATGCACTTTCAAAACCTAAAACAGATTTCATGAAAAAAAGCATAAGTTATTCAGCCGTAAGTCTATGGAATAGCCTCCCAAAAGCCGCTAAACTACATGACGTTTCTATTTGGCAATTAAAACAATTCTCTCGAGCTGATTATAATTACGAATAGATCAAATATGCGAACCGTAAATAGAATCTAATTATGTTATTTGTTTGTAAATAGCTCCTGTATTGTGTTAGGTTAGTTCTTTAATGTCTTTTTATATATTTTTTATTGTATTACTGTAAACGGCCTCTTGGAAATCAGATGTTAGTAGATCTGAAGGGTTACCGTTTCCAAATAAGATTAAATAATAGTCAATCTATGCAGTATAATGTAACGCTGCATATCAAAACATCTGTTTCAGAAAACGCATGAAATGCAGTCCTATAAGCTAATAAGGGTAGAAAAATATGAAAATGTTCTGGGGAGAATGCCCCAAGAGCCGAAGGAATCAGACCACGACTGATTAACTGAGTCGTGAAGAATGGCCACGTTTTTGTCGTTGTTTTAAATTTTGAACTTGCGCGCAAGCGTAAACTTTTGTAATTTCAGCCAATCAGAATTTAAGTATTTTCATTTTTTCAGCCAAGCAAAATTTGTTAAAATTTAATAATTTTCATACCATCAAAACACACATAATTTAAATAGCTTAACTGCTTATATCAACATTCATAATTAACTTTATCTCCTATTTAAGTGGATATCTCAACAAATAATTTAAAAATATATTGATTTCGGTGCGTGACAATATAACATATTATTATAATATGTTCATATTGTCGGCTTTCATTGTGTCAAAATAAAAAATCTAGAATTATTATTACTCTTAAACGTTTTGGTTTGTGTATACATCTGCACGCCATGTTCATTTCAAAACTTCATTTGATCCAGACAAAATTTCTAGAAAAAAATTTTCATGATTATAAACAAGCTGTTCAGGAGCTAGTTCGCTTTGAAACTTTACCGTTCACCCCCAGGACTACAAACTAACTGGTTTTTGAACTGGCCCCTGCTGCATGCATGTAGGTTTTTTCAATTATAGGAAGACATATTCAAAGTGAAATCGCAAAGCGAAATAATTATCAAATATTTGATAAATTTCATACATTGGCTGGCGCTGTAATTTTAATCAGGAAAACGTTTTAAAATAGCGCGCATGTGTACATATTATATATATATCGGCATTCCCCATGGACATTTTTACACAGTACAGTATTTATGTTTGCGATGTTACTCTGAGTGCATATCCACACCGGGCGAGCTTGAAAAAGTAACATCGCAAACATATTATTCACCTGAGTACACAACACCAACACAGAAAAAATTCATAGTACAGTATTTATTGCTTTGTAATTGAAGTATATAACGGTTGTCATTTAATACTAACATTAATATGATACTTTAAACACCGAGAGCTTTTTTGTCGTGGGCATGCATGTATGTATAGTGTATATACATACATACATATATTACTCAGCACACTCCCTTATCAGGGTTTTTCAGTGACTAGTTGCATTAGAATATAATAGCAATAAATAATACTACCGCGAGTGTCCAAAAAAAACTGGACACTGTTTGATTTCATGTAACGTAAAAGCTATCGCAATGAAATAAAGATCATTGCATTCAGAAAGGACTAACTTAGATTTTGATATATAACACTTGAATTTACATGCAATATTGACTGATATTTGAACGTTGAACTACTGTTTTTGAAAATGCAAAATATTAGCATAAAACAACCTTATTACCGATGTAGTTGTTAAATAATAAGTATCTTTATTTTGGTTGTATCTCGCTCAATATTGCATGTAAATTCAAGTGTTATATATCAAAATCTAAGTTAGTCCTTTCCGAATGCAATGATCTTTATTTCATTGCGATAGCTTTTACGTTACATGAAATCAAGCAGTGTCCAGTTTTTTGGGGGGACACCCGGTATTTCTAAACTTCTGAGTGAGCAATTCAGAACCTATAATCTTCAGTGAACGATGCATGCATGCATTAGCATAATAGGAAAGCTTGTATCCCTATCAATCCGAAATTTAGAACTTGACTGATAGCGCTATCCATGCAGTACAACAATTACAAATAAATTTAGTATTAAGTCTCATATACAGACGAGAAATGTTTTCGTGACAAAGTTTTATTTATTGCTCGTGTGTACAGCAAAGTAATTTTTCCTTCAAGGAAGGAGCCTTGTTCTACGCGGGCAACAAACTTGTCAAGGGAAACTTGCTGACCGTACACACGAGAAGGGACTTGTCAAGGAAATTTGTCGAGTAAAACTTGCATGCATGGTCATCTCTACGGGGCTTCAGTTTTTTAGTCTTTAGGATAACTGTTGTGTTTATATACTCTCAATGCAAGGAAAACGACAACGCCATGTGGCCCATGTATATGTGGTCAGCTTATACATATTATATATATATATAGCATGCATGTGGCAAATTTACTTTAATAAAGAACATAACTTTCATTTATTTCTTAATTATGAATATTATACTATAATTCGTTTGCCGTTGTGTTGAACGCGTAGTCTATACAACACCTACCTGATCTGAGGCCAAAAACGATGCCCTTGCGAACTCTTCCAACATAAAAACCTTCATTTGTCCATCCGCTTTACCTTGTAGCCGATTCAAAAACACTTGCGCGCAATCATTAAAAACTTTCAAAAAGTTCCTGCTAACATTTCCGCGATGAAAAGCATGATTTAAACAACGTCGTCGCGGTTTCCAAGCGGCTTCGTCGGTATTTGTAACCAGACCGTGCCCTGCTATCGGTTGTCCGCAAACAAAACCCAGTTTTCGGTACACTTTCGGGTCTTTTGGCAGAAGCAAATGATGTCTTAGCAGCAGCTTGCAAATTATCGAAGGTTCTGAGACAAAAATGATCGCTTTGTGGCATATAAAAACGACAAATACGTTGCCATGTTCAATAGTTTGAGCTAGAAAATAGTCGTAGAATGTCCTGCCCGCTTTGCGATACGTTGCGATATCTTTTGCATTGCCTAACCAAAAATTACTCCTCTGTGGTCCTGGTAGATGGCCAAAACGCCGATGCTCGCAAAACAGGTACACGGCAAATCCCAGCACAGCAAGACATAGAAAAACAACAATAGCTAACGCGAAGAAACCAAATAAAACGACATTCATTCTTCTGCCAACTCTTGAGTGCACTGGCAACTTGACCACAAATCACGAACTCGAACAGTGCTCTCACGAAATGAGGGCTCTGATTTAAAACATAGCCTATCGAAGGGAAGATGGCTCTGAAACTCATGACATTAGAATAACAATTAATGTAACTCATTATCTATATGTTGTTAGTCAACGTTTATTCATAAATCTGGTCTTTCACAGTCACGTGTGTATTGTATTTTTACCAAATCCACCAATAGCAATTTCCAATTTGCCCTATTGTTCGAGTAACGGATAGGTAACTTTCCTAAAACATTGCTGTTGGTTAGTTGGGCAAAAATACAATACACAAATGACGGTGAAGCTAGGACCCCAGATTAATAACAAACGTTGACTAAGGCCTGTTATATGTCGAATTTTGGTCGTGTCGAATGCAATTAAGACAATATAGATAATGGAATGATAAACCTCGTTAAGCTTTCCTTTTATTGATTGACATCTTTATTTAAATATATGCTCTTCAAATTTCAATGGAGACGTACGTGTACCTTCAAAATATTTACAAGAATTACATACTACATATGCAAAGAATAAATATAATAAAATAATTAAGAAATTTTAGATTTAAACTCGGCACTCTTGCGCTCTAGCGATTTCGACGGGCATGTCGTCCCATAGGGTAGCCCCTCAATAAGTAAAACTTTTCTTTAAGGACTCAGTTGAGGGTCTTGGAACAAAACGTTTCAGATGATTAGAGCGTCGCAAATTGTGTTCGTTTATCATACAGGGTGTCCCCGAAAACTATTGAAAAAACGTATTGTTAGAATTTAAATGCCTCAGCACTCTGCTGAACTCACACGTGCATCAAAGCTTGACATAAGTAAACTTTATCCATAAAGAAATTGTTTGAGAAGCTGTTTTAAATTCCCAATTTTAATTTTTTTAATAAGTCAATATTGAATATATACACCCTGTCAACATTTTACGCATTTTTGCGTTCAGCTTAGTGCTAGGGCATTCAAATTTTAACAATACGTTATTTCAATGGTTTTGCGGTTTTTTGGGACACCCTGAAGAAGTTGGAGTAAATTTTCTTGACAAGTAACTAGGAACCATGTTATTAACAGTTTCGTACATACAAGTTTTAAACTGTTGATCAAGAGTTGACTGTAGATCAGCAACGGTTTTAGACTTTTAGGGCCTGTTCATATGGGCAAAATTTATCCCGGTTAACGAGAAAACTTTTCGACTAGCCAAATACTTTTGTTCTGTTCATATGGAGAAACTTTATCCCGCTTACCGGGTAAAGTTTTCGGCTGTGACGTGGCACTGAACATCAATTGAATTGAAAAGTTGCTGACACGACAGAAAGTTATCACGCTAAGCGGGAAAGTTGTGTTCATATGGGAAAAACATTATCCCGGTCACCGAGATCTCGCCTGTCAACAAGCGAGATCTCGGTACACGGGAAAACATTTTGTCTCATATGAACGCAGTGTAACTTTTCATATTATTTTCATACCAAGGCGAGATCTCGCTTGTAAACTTGTCGAAAAGTTTTCTCGTTAACCGCCTGCTCATATGGGCAAAAGTTATCCCGGTTAACGAGAAAACTTTTCGACAAGTTTACAAGCGAGATCTCGCCTTGTTACGAAAATAATATGAAAAGTTACATTGCGTTCATATGAGACGAAAAGTTTTCCCGTGTACCGAGATCTCGCTTGTTGACAGGCGAGATCTCGGTGACCGGGATAATGTTTTC